TTAATGATTCGGTCACACAGAAATCTTCATAAATATTCGTTAGTTAAAAGTCCAAATAGCAATTTTGTTGGTTTTGGATGTGGTTAATTTGGTTCAGTCCTAAATTAGCAGTTTTGTCAAAAATGAACTGCAATGTTTCATTATCCCCAACGACTGGGAGTAAGATACATTGATTTTCAGAGTCCAGAATGAAGTCAGCATGGCGTTGATTAAAGTCTCCATAGATGTGAACTTTAACCTCAGGAGGAAGCTCAGATAGAATTTGTTCAGCACTTTGGAAGAAGGATTCATAAGTGCTTTTATGAGCATGGTCTGGTGAAAAATACACCGAGGCGAACACGTGCGTTTCACCGGCTATGTGTGATTTCACCCAAATATGCTCAAATTCTGTAAATTTTGGTGTAAAGATGAGTTCTGAGTTAAAATTGGCTGAAAGAGCTATAAGAGCTCCACCGCCTGACTTCTTCTGAGTTGCATGAAAATTTGTGTCGTCTCTGAATACATTAAAGGCATTTCCAAAGATTTCTTCACTTATCACGCTTTCGTCCCAGCTTGTTTCAGTTGCCAGAATGACCGAGAAGGATGAGCATAATAAATTTTGATAGATTTCCTTCATTTTAGCTGGGCTTTTCATGCGATTGAAATTTTGACAGTAAATCAAAATTTCAGTCGCATTCTGTTTATGTGAAGAAATTGTTGGAAGTACGTCGGTTGATAAAATATTTTCATTATTATTATTATTTACACTTACATTTCTATTTTATTCTGAAAGTGTCTGAAGAGTGTTGTCGTTTGATTAAAAGGTTCCTTTCGAAGTGTGCGTCAATGTCGATAAAAATTTTGGGTGCTGTAGAATTTATATGCGGCTCCCGTGTATGCTGCAGTCGTTGTGTGCGTTCACTAGATAAGAACGCACATGTGTATGATTCCCTTCGGGCTCGAAGTAGACAACCCAATGTTCTGGTTCGAGATATCTTGGCTGGGCGCGATTTGGAATATATGAAACTCATATATGAATTTTTGAAATTCATTAACCTTAGGTTGTAGATAGTTTGTTTTCTTAATTAATTTGGTATGTTTGTCAGGATGAATGTGTTTGCGAGAAAGAGTGTGTGTGTGTGTATACATTCATTTTGTAGTATTCATGTTCATCTCGTGTTGAAATCATCAGATTTTTAGATTTAAGTAAGAGTTTTAGAAATAGTTACCATATTAAAACAAATGAAATTCGTAATCCTCTCAACCTTTCCCCATCCTTAAATTGTAAAACTCCCTAACCTCGAGACGACCGCGAGTAATCGGTTAAACCCCCTTAACTCTAGTTTTAAGATTCTTATTGTAGAAGAAGAATATATCGGCTCTGTAAAGTTTATTCGCAAATCAGCAATTGACTAAATTTTCATTTGCGACCAAAAGTATCAAAAATATATCGTACCGTCCCAATGACGCGTCCATCTAGATAAAATTGATAAACAGCAGATTTTTGGCGATGGGCCCAATCTTCGATCCATAGGCCAACATAAGAGCCATTTTCCCTATCATATTGATATTATTAACGAAATTACTAATACCAAAAGGCACACATGAGTGTTCACTCGGCTGTCGACAGAAGGAGATCAATCTCAATGTGTGTCACGCGATCGTCTGTTTACTCGGCAGCAATCATTGTGTGGTCCTCCTCATTGTTCTTCATCAGCAGTTCTTTCAGTCGATGCGTCGTCGACTTTGGAAAGCAACCGTTTCGTGATGAATGTGTTAGGTCTAACCACGTTTAGTGTCCATTGCTGCAATGGAAGCGCTCTGACCCTCGTTGACGAATCTGCCATAGAATGAAACCACTGGAAGCGGCTCCCGTTCTGTAACTGTTCAATAAGCCAGCGGAAGATAAAATGTTTATTGTGTTGTACCTTTTGTCTATAGTTTTAAGATGTATTTTATAGTGAACAAGAATCCTCGGCTCAGTTAAGTTAATTCGGTTGAGCCTTATCTAAAAAATTAATAAAAAAAGGCATACATGGACTTGATGTCAAGAAAACATGACTTGTTCTCTTTTTAATATCCTACAATACCGCTAAGATCTCATTTTTGTTATAATTACTGTTAACTCTGCGGAATGCATTATATATCTTATTGTATGATGTGCATGTGTTGAATAAGTGGGGATCGTGCGTATCAAAGCACATTGACCCTATTGAACATCAAGTTCTTAACTCCAGGTAATTTTGGAGAATTTAGACGACTTCTGGATCTCAAAATCATGTTTCATGATTAATTTAGGTACATGTTACTGCAAAACTTGTAAAATAATGCAGAATAAGCTAGAACATCTATTTGCCTACCTTCTTGTATGTACATTCCCCTTCGAGCTCTGAGAGAACCAATTTACATGCAAGGTTTTGTGCGGCGTCCCGCTACTCGGGCTATGCTTAATCAATCTGGGATATTTTACAACCATTATAAGTGGAACCAAGTTTGCTAAAAACGTTATGAACAATGCACACTCACATGCACTTATCGAGGATTCGATTATTCCTCAAAATTTCCACTTTTCACTAAATTTGCTCTAGCTCAGGCTGTGGATAACCTATTCTGGAGTTTGTAGCGCCATTCGGCGTGGAAGATTCTCCCCTTAATTATTTACTAACACGCTAAGTTAACATTATGCCATAGAGGTCAATAAGGGGGTCACCTCGTCATTACCTCGCTAGGTGTGTAGAAAGCCAGAGCAGGTGAGCTGGAAATTGAATTACGAAAAAAAATACCAGAGCATGCTGATAAAGGACCATAATAAGGCACTGTTTTGCCTGAAGACTTGAAGAAATACTCCAAATCTCATCATCCATTATGTATGAGTTAGGTAAAGAAGTGTGCAGTTGACTAGTACCAACTGTCACTACTTGACAAGCCTATTGGTCCCAAGTAAATATATAAGCGTACATCATTCTATTCAACATTCTAGTACTGCACTATGTTTTTTTTTATTTGCTATGAAAGTTTGACAGATAAAATGTGGGGTTTGTGGATTTTCCTATGCTTCGAAGGGTGCATCGATTAGCTTGAGACCGAAGATAGTTGAGCATGTTTCTTCGGGACCATCTGGTCTTAGAGTTACCTTACCAAAGAAACGTGCTCAACTTTTTGGCTCAGCTCTGGCACTCTTTTCGGTCCCAAGCTATTCGATGCACCCCTCGAAACATAGGAAAATCCACAAACCCCACATTTTATCTGTCAAAGTTTCATAGCAAATGAAAAAAAAACATAGTGTAGTACTAGAATTTTGACTAGAATGGGGTACGTTAATCGATTTACTTGAGACCAATAGTCTAATCAAGTAGTGAGCTAATTTAAAATCGTTAGTTTCCACCGGTTGCTAGTAATGTCGCATTAACGGCCCTCGCTCATTTTCAACTTCTATTCAATTTTCATACTGCCGTACTCTAGCGGAACTATCTACCTACCCTCTTCCGACCATTCTCTAGCTAATAAATTATCACACTAAAGCTTCATGTTATTAAAATTTGTCCAGGCATTAAACAAATTAAAAATTTAACCACAGTTTGATTGCATTCGATAATTATAATCCATGCTAATATTACTAGAAGAAGATGTAATACCCCGTTCACATTACAGCGTATATCAAGTGATATACGCTGTTTTGCAATAAACACTCATACATCTAATATTCACTGGAAATTATATGTATGAGTGCTCATTGCAAGACAGCCTATATTACGTGATATAGGCTGTAATGTGAACGGAGTATAAGGAAAACTCGAATATAATTTTTAAAATTTTGTTCAACGAACGTCGTTTAGCTGCATAAACAAAATTTCGAATCGATATTTTGCACCAAAACGAAGTTCGTAGACTAAACTCCCCTATGATGGTAATGGGCCAAATCCATGTTTTGGAGTCTATTCTTCGGTGCACGGAACAGTAGTTAATATTATTTGACAAAACAATGTACTACCTAGGGGCGCTAAGATTGTGATTTTTGCTAGTATAATTGCTCGTATTTAAAATAGTTCAATTCCACCAAAATTAACGAAATTTTGGATCTCGGATCCATTTTTGATGCAGATTACGAATATGTATTGAGGTACGTAAATACCCCTAAATAACAAAATTTAAATGCAAAAAGTGACAATTGGTCATAGTGACGTCACTTTGTTGTCACATGTTGTAATTGGATGCATTGAAATATATAAGCGCTATAATTCATATGCTTTTATGCTGAATTGACAAAAAAAAAACACTTTCAATATTTGAACATTTAAGAGGAATTTTCAACAGAATACCATTTTAATAGAATTTTGGTTCACATTGTAAACAATGAAACCCTCTCATCGTTTGGAACAATTCATTGCAGAAAATTCTCAACAGGATGAGTGTTGATTCAATCCTACTTAGAAAAAAAAAATGCTTGCACCATGAATCAATGCAGCAAGGACGTTGGTATTAATCCAGGCATCAATCTCCATTAATCCATAGTTTATTATTCAGGATGGATTCCTTATCGTCACCCACAACAATGCTCCAGCACTCGTTGGCAATTAACGCAAAGATCCACTCATCATTGCCAGTCGTCATCATCCTACAGCATCACCTTTTAATGGAGACTATTTCTATTCAAGGGCATCGTCGCCGCAAGGTTTTTTAATTACTAACTGATGTGTGTTTAACAGTCTTTCTATTACCTCGTAAACTCGTACCAAGTCGTACAATGCAAGCAAAAAGCTCCTCCTCCACTCAGCTAGGATTGCTTTTTGCTTGTCATCTGATTTTTCCACACCAACTGTGTGGCGCTTAGTTGTTTTTTTTTTTGGTTTCACAGATTTACCTAACTTAATTTGCCTCTCAGCTTTACGGTCCAACCTGTTTTGCTAGCCGACGCAAAATCAGTTACAATCAATCATCGAGCTCTACTATGACGATGACTACCGTGGCGAAAGCGTATTAATTTGGATCTTTTGTTTTTTTTTTTCTCGATTGTTTTTCAGCCGAATTCTCAGGTGCTCAATGATGGATCGTTCAAATTTGCTGCCAAGACGAGTTTTTCCTGCACCGGCCGAGCGGCTGGATACTACGCGGACGTTGAAACCGGCTGTCAGGTGGGTTAAAAGGATGCTTCTGATTGTTTTGGAAATTGGATGTTAATACGATTGTTCTTCATGGCAGATTTACCACATGTGTGACGGCTTGGGACGCCAGTTCAGCTATGCTTGTCCCAATACGACACTGTTCCAACAGAGGATGCTAATCTGCGACCACTGGTACATGGTCAATTGCTCCAAGGCGGAAAGCAACTACGCAGTGAATTTGCTCATTGGTGACATCTTAATACGACGTTGTGCATTGTGCATTAAAGGCAAAGTACTAATTTTTGTTTATTTTTTTAGGACAACGAGATAAGCCGTTCGTACCGGAGGATGAGAACGAAATCAGGACACCGCGACCGGATCTACTGGACCGACCCTACTCGGCTGGATTCCACATGGATTCGCTAAAGTACAACTTCTTCAAGGTTTGTAATCGGTTGATGTTTCTGAAAAAAAAACTGGCTTTAATTGAACCAATCATGTTTTAGACAAATACTCCGGCACCCCAGAATGCCATCTCAGCTAACGGTAAGAATGCAGTTAAGACTCAAACCGTCAAGCCGAAACAAACGACGAGTGAAATCTTCGAAGAAAGTGCTAGTAATCACGGTTTGCCAATCCACTGGGGCACCCGATATGCCAAGGAAGATGACGAAAAGGAACGCAAGGATGCCAAACAGGAACTGGATACCCCGTTGAGCACTGTCATACCGTTGAGCACTGAAGAAGCCCAATTGCAAGGCAGTAAGTCCAATGGACGGCGCGATGTCAAGGATGACGAACGAAAGGACGAGAGTAGGAATACGGTGCGGGTCGTTGTAAATGAAAATCGAACGAACAAGGTTGTGGAATCGGCTAGCAACAACAATCAGGTCAACGTTAAGCCTCCGTCCATTCGGTATGAACCTCCCTTCACCCCAGAAGAGGATCTCAAACGAGGAAGCAACAGCAAGGAGTCATTGGGAGCAGGATTCAAGCCATTCGAATCTATCTTGAATTTTAACAAGAAAGGTAACCGAAAGGACTACGATTTCTCCAACTTCTTCGGGCGAAATGAAAGCATCAGAAATACGCCTCCAACGAAGGCACCGACTGTAGCCACCTCCACTACCACCACCATCGCCACTCCAAGGACGTTTCCGTCAAGCACTACGAGATATTTCAGCAGTTCTTCAACGACACCATCCCGACCAACGACTAGATTCACGACAACTCCCCGTCAACCCGGCTTTGTAACATCTCCAAGCACAACGAATAAACCAATCTCCATTATAGTGTCGGATCTTCAGCTACCGCAACTGAACCCAGCACAGTTTGCTCCAAGAACCGGAACAGCGTTTCGACCTGTGCAGACTACCACCACAACTCCAAGAACAACTTTCTCTACAACTTCGACCACCACGACTACAACGACAACTCAAAAACCAACTTCCTTCTCAGACCCAAGAATATCGAATCGTCCTCCTGCCACGATCCGATTCAATGCACCCGCAGCAACGGCCGGTCTATTCGAAAACCGATTTTCCTTCCAACGACCTGCAGTGACATCCAATGTTCCAGTCCCGTCCCGAGACATCCTTCCACCGTTCCAGAATGTCGCTGATTTCGACAAAATCAAGAACCGTTTTGTCAACCAACCAGTCTTCACACGTCAGCCCATCAGCAACGAACCATCTGCCGGACCCATCACATCCGGAATCGACAAGCTCACGAATGAACCCCAGATTCAAGTACGCAACGACAACATCCCACGTCCATTCAGCGTTCCTACCCCTGCCAACGATCTGCTGCCTCCGAAGAAAGAATACGTTTACTACGACGACTCCACCACCAAAGGCCCTCCAATCTACTACCAATGGAAGTGGTCCATTCCGTCCTTCGGCCTTGAACCCCCACTGGATGCCCCTCTGACCGACGAAGAAAAGCTTCTCACTCAGCTGAACCCAGCGTCCCATGATTCACCCGACTCGAACCGGGAACACAACCAGACAGCTCGTTCGATTTCATCTGAAACCGGAAATCCAGGCGAGAACCCCTTGGCTGGCAATACGATTCCCGAAGTCACCAAACCCAAGATCCAAGTACCGACGCACAACTATCTGGAGCTACGCAAGCAACTTGCTATTCCCGATTTCACCTTCCCCTTGGAAAGCGCAGGCACTTCCCAAAGCACCTACGAGCATGACGGAGCCGTCAACTCATTCCAGATCAAAATCCCGGCGTACGCCCGCAGTGATGACGCCAGCTCGGCTTGGTATGGTGAAAATGCCAAATGTCCCGAATGCCATCCAGCTTTCGTAAGGCCTGGAACCTGCGAACCATGCGTCAAAATTCGACGATAAACAGTTTTCCTTGAGTCCTGCCTTAACCTTAAATTCCTTGTTTCCCCTTCTTAATAGGATTGTTGTTGGTAAGCTAGCTAAGGTAAAAATCTCCCATGACCCAATTCCTAGTCCCCTTGTTCCTAGTGAATTTCCCTATTCCAGAGCAGATGCATTCAAGTATTTTAGGTAGATAAGATTTGACGCACTAACCCACGCCCTGCATCGGGAACACGAGAAGATCATTCCGCAGATCATGACCTCTTCCGGAGCTCTAATTTATTATTAACTCAATCCGCATCGGGAGCAACTCCCGGAAGTCTTCATCCGTGCTCATAAGTTAGCTTCATCTCTGTTACTCACTCTTACCTTTGACAGTAGGAATCAACACAACTCAGCTCAGCAACAGCTCCGAGGGAGAGATCATGACTATCTCCGGAATGATCTGTCCAGAGATTACGATGAATTGTACATACACCGCCGCCAAGAAAACCGAATTGAAGTAAAATAAATGTGTGTTGAAAATTTTAATTGTCGAATGGTTTGTTTTGTTCACTAAAGATGATAGAAGAAAATCCCTGGAGCCCATTGTACCAGTTCCCGAGCTGAAGCCTCTGGAGTGCAGTAGATAGCGATTCTATGTTGATTTCTCAGGTTGATATCTTCAATAAGGGCAGTTCTGCGTCGTCGTGAGTAGCAAACCGAGCGTGCTTCCCCGTCTACGTAGACCTGAAAACAATGATAACGCAATAAAAAATGTAGATGTTACAAACTTAGTGAAAATCAACCTTGTAGCCGCTGATTTGCTTGAGGAACTGCGGCGCAACTTCCCAGTGAACCATCAACTGGTTAGGACCAACCGGATGGCACGAATAGATTTCTGCAGGACAAATGAATTTCCGCCCGATTTCATCAGTCAAAGGGCATTGGTAACTCAGCATCAGATCGCAAATTTCATCTAACTCAAGGTTACTCTTCCTTGGTGGTATACTCTGCTCTTCAGTGATATACTTAGATGTTGTCGATCCTCGGGTTGAAGTAATCGATAATTTACGGCTCTGGTTCACTTCTTGCATTGATTTCAGGGTATTAGTCTGATTCAAGCTTGATATTCTTTCTCTTCCTTGTGAGATCGTAGAAGGTTGCAGCGTCTCGATAGACTCTGTTGGCACTACAAAACTCAGTACACGACTGTCTCGTTGATCGTTAGCAGTCACGGTAGAACCAATAGTTAATTTACATTTTTCATCCAGTTGGAGCTCATCTGTAACTGCTTTGCTTGGCCTTGCACGCTCCATTGTCAACGATGACCGGTCATCCAAACTATCTTTGCACGATACATTTTCTTCAATACTCGAAATTGGATCGCCTTGGTTTCCGTTAGCAGTCTGTCCCAGTACAGTTTCGCTTGATCTCGTTAGTGATAACTGCTTTTTTAAACTCGTTCTACTGGCTTCGGATTCCATTTCAACTTCATCTGCAATTTCTGCAAGATCGACAGTTGATCTTCGTTGAGACTGTTCAATAACTGCTTCTTCGAAGCTCAGCACTCGTCTATCTTGTCTGTCATCAATTTCGGTTGGATCAACAGTTGATCTACGATAGTCATCAAATCGAGGCTGTTCAATAACTTCTTCGCTTGATCTTTCAACGTCCGTAGTCAATGATAAGTGTTTTTCCAATGTGACAGCTTGAGTATCTTCATCGTGAGAACCCCGAATTGAATCAATCGTTGAGGGTTTCTCATCACTCTCAGGCACAACTTCGTCGGGACACTGCATTGCTGAGAAAAATTCTTTACGTACGTCACTGACATCAGACAGTTCCGATTGATTCCTTTCTTCCGTATCGGGAACAATCTCTACCGTTACCGATAGACGAGCTTCGATTTCTTCCAGGGTAAGCGCAGATGGCTCCACGATCGTAAGTAAAGATTTTGTTTGACTCGACTCAGTGCTTGCAGACTGGGACCTTTCAATGGCTGGTGGTGGACGGAGAATGGCACAGAGATTCTTTAGCTGTTGCTTTAAATCTCTTAGTTCATGCTCAATGCTATCGAGTCGGGTTGTTTCGTCCTGGAATTTAGTAATTACGATTAATTCATTGGGTGGTGAATCAGCTGGTTTCTTAAACATTACATGCAGCTTGAAGCTCTTTTGATCGGAGGGATTCGTGTTTATAAGAATGACTTCGATGATTTCTCAGATTTTATCATGCCTCAATTGTTATGATTAAATTTTTGAAAACCTACCCGTTACTTATACCCTTTGAAGAGTGAGAGCACCCTCTTAAGACGCGCCCTTTTGTCAGTCAAACCCGGATTCCTTAGCAACAATATCAAGCAATAGCGCCGGTAATGACCATGCATCAGAATCCTAGTATCAACTCCTTCAAACTAGAGAACAACTAATAGAAGATTTAGAATCATATAAATGAATACTAAGTAATTCGTTTTTTCCTTGTTTCAAGATCGTCCTCAGTGGATCAACCTTAGCCTTGTCACTATCAACAAGGCATAACAAGTAACAAGGACTCAGATGTGTTCCTTTGATTACTGTAACATCCTGTTCCCCTAGTTTGAAGTTATCATAACTAGGATTCTCTCAACGTACCACGAAAAGGACATCTACCCACGATACGGGGCGGCTTACAACGTATCTTTTGTGCCGAGTATGCAAAAAAAAAAAGGACTTCGGATGTTAATCTAAATAAAGGTACCATCAAGTTTTTCAGTGCCAGTTACTCTATTCTGAAGTTCATAAATCGAGTGTGGCATGACACAATACTAATTTTCTCTATCAAATTTGAATTTTTTGGCTCTCTGGAGACTGGTAGTATTTAAACCTGGTAAAACATGAACTCTACTTTGTCTACTTTGCTTGATGAAATAAATACAATGAACACATTATTGTGTTATCATGTGAAGCGTGATAGCTGATAGGCATCATGAAGATGATTAAGATTTAGTAAATATTCTGCGAGAATATTGATTACGATGCAAGTCAATGGAAAAATACAATGATGTACATGAAGATGAGATGCTCGCCGCTTGATTAGCCTAAGGTTAACGGAAGGCCTCCAATACCAAATCAAGATGCTCTAGCAGCGATAATCTAGGTATTTGTGTTCGTAGCATGTAGAAGTAACGGAAAGTAAGACTATATACCAAAAAGCCAAGCAGTTACGCTACTAACCTTCAAGTCTTCGTTGGTTTGAACAGTTTGGTTTCCCACTGCAGCAACGCATTTAGTCGACTCAGCTTCTTCTGGAAATATGAAACATCGTTAATTATGTTAATCGTTTCATTTCTATCATTCATACCTTCATCATCTCCCAAAGCCAGCTCCTCCTGGCAATCATCTTCAACCATCTCGACAATATAATCATCCGCCAAATTCCTGCTAGTATGAATAAAACTAGACTGTATTTCACGAATCTTCTCCGTCCCATCCATTGTCAACCTTTCCAAAATAACCTCCAAGGTTTCTCGCATCGGTTCCATCGATTCCTGGATGTAGTTCTGAATCAGATCAAAATACCTACTAAGATTCTCCTGCATCCGGAATTCATCCCCACTCGTCTGTATGGCAGCAGCAGCATCCCCCAGGTCACTTCCTACCTCCGCCATACAGGACTCGACCATCTCGGGAACCAAGTTACCCAAATCAAACTCGTCTGATTCATCCGACAGCCGACGAACTTCCTTCACGCATTCCACTTCCGATTCCAACTTCGAAGCATATCTCAAATCGATCATCCTTGCTTCGAAGAACAACCCCAAATTGTGCTTGTGATCGCGAACGTTTCCATTCAGTACTACGTACTGCTCACCTTCCTTGCGTTCTAGCTCCCCAGAAGCCGAATCCAGCCGCAAATGTATCGAATCGTTTGATTTGTCCGTCACCTTCAACTTCCCCGCCTCGTCAAGCAGCTGGGAGAACAGGTGCAGCATCCGGTTTTTGATTCCTGGCGATCCCTCGAGGAACTCCATTCGCGATCCCTTCCGATCTTGGTCCCACTTGTCAGGAACGTTCAACGACTTCTCCAAAAAGTGACGCAGCTCATCTATTGTGTTATTTAGCGTTTGACATTCTTCTTCGAGCTGCTGGGAGATATCCGATGGGGTTTCCTCGTTCGATTCCGCCGATTGGATCAGGTGGAACGAAACAGATGGTTTTCGAGTTAGGGACGAACTGGGTTCGGGTGTTGGTTCTAGGTCTGGTTCGGGTTCCGCCAAAAAAGCCTGCCGAGGTTCCTTGCCAAGAAAGGACTTCACTCGAAAGCTCCAACCGCCGATGATCTTGACTAAAGATAGAAAGAGGGTTTGGAACAAGGATATATAGGACACTTCACGACCTCCCGGGGGTTCTTCGACGCTCAGAAGGTTGTGGATATGCTGCACCACTTCGAGGGATGCACTGTCGGAGGGGAGCCGTTGCAGGTGCAGATGTTCGTCGGTGATATCAGTCGTTCCTGGGCAACTTGTTACCCTTAAGGGTGAGTGGAGTTCGATGCTTTCGGCTGGAATAGTTTTGAGAAGTTCTAAAAGCTCTTCAAGAGCGCTCGAGAGAGAAGCTTCGTAATGGATAAGGACGTTCAGGATGGCTTCACGGAGAGTGCGAATAATGGAATCATTGTCAAATTGAGTGTTTTCTTCACATATCAGCTCATCAAAGTAGGATTTTAATAGTTCTAGATAATCGAAGTCTTCTGGGCGAGTTTCTTTAATTTCGGCTTTAGGAATATCTTCCACGATCTCTCGAATCTGGTTAATAACTGAAAGTGGATCTTCTCTATCCGATGGATTCATCAACTGATGGACAACGAATGAAATTTTCTGCAGCACGTGTTTGTTGATAAATTCTTCCGGTAGATCAACGCGGGAACTATGAAACACCTGAACGATGATTGTAGCCAATGATCTTAGATCTACGTCATTCAACTCGTTGTTGGTGATAAACTGTTCGATCAATAGTCGAATGCTATTCAGCAAGTCTTTTGGATTGGCACTGGAGTGAACTTTGAACCAGTTTTTACTAGAAGTCTGAATCACAATCGACCCACCTGAGTAGTTCAGAACACCGATGACTTTATCATCACTCTGTCGTACGCTTATACCTGATGCATGACTTTCCAGGTCACCACTCTTCATTGACTCGTCCAAGTCAGTTTTGATCTGTTCTAATTTGGAGTCACGATCACCATCAGAGTGTGTTTGAATAAGCAGCTTCTCACTAGATTCTTGAACTAGGTTCCGATAGAGATTTTTCATTGATTGCACCATTTCAGCGTGGTCCTGCTCAAGTGGAAAATTTTGAACGGTCGTCTTCATCACCGCAGTAGATGCATTTGGAAAGCTTAAAACTCCTACAACGAAATCTCCCGATTTGTTGATCGTTATTTCCGGTTCTGTGTCGAATGTTTCCTCCATGATATCATCTTGACCTTGTAGGCATTCCTGAAGGAAGCTTCTCAATCGGTCTACGGAAATTTGTTCTTCATCTTCACTAACAGAAATGTTCTCAGTATTTTTTTCGTTTGATTTAGGAGCTTGTACTAAAATCACAGATTCGTCCTCTGTGCTAAAATATCCAACAAATGCTTCCGATGTTGTTTTCTCTGTGCCCTCTTTGGAGAACGTATGAACCACGATAGTGTCTTCCGGTTGAGAAAGAATCTCTCCCAAAGCACGCTGTAGCTTTACCAGAATTGATTCCCTGGTAGATCCTTGAACCTTTCTTAATACGTCCTCCGTTAACTCCATCATCTGCTTTGCCGTTTCTTTGTAACTTTCCTGGATCCTTCTCGATCCCTGCGAATCTTCCAAACTCGGGTACTTCAAAATTACCACACTATTTTGGCTGTTTAACATGTCATTGACTTCCATCATATCATCCATCAACTTGTTATGGCCGCCAACATTTTCCCTGGATAATTGCATCAAAACTGTACTCTCCGAATCGATCACAGCTCCCACGGCGTGTCCTTGAACTTTGCTCACCACCGAGATCGACTGCCTTTTTGATTCCCTCCAGTCACTGCTCGGTTCGATCACCGGAATCGAAAACACTGGTCTGCTGTCAACTTCTTCCAGGTTCATTTCCGATTCACTTTCCTGGGATGTTTCCGTTGCCATCGACAAACTCCATTCGGACTCACTGTCCACTGATTCTCCGTCGTACCGGAACGTTCCATCGAACAGAGCTGGATGCAGTGGCGGGGCGTTGATGATGTTTGTGATAAGCTCTGAAGTTTTTTCTGAACTGGATCCGGTTCCGATGCAATGGGTTACAACTTGCACGAGCCCGTCTTCATTCACATCGATCATCAGGTGATTCCCATTGGAAGAGCGTTCCGGGGGTTGCGTTCGAGTATTGCGTTTCATTTGGAAGACTTGAAATTTTGATATCTTGAATTTGTAAATCATTAATTATAAGATTCATTATTGTTCAACAATCAGTTTACCTATAAGAAATTTAGAAGACTAGAATTTTAAGTGACAAGAACATTAATTTGTAAATTTTATTGCAGTCAAGGCTAAATTGATGTTCTCAAATTACATTTCCAATCAGTCTCAGTCGAGTAAGCACTGAGTTTCCTTCTAAATTGTCAATCCCAGAAAAGAAAAATCAAGATTGAAAATTCAAGTGTCCAAATCTTTCACGATTAAAAGTATTCTCTTCTCCAACTTAATTTAATAGATACCTAATCTACAACAATCTCTTCAATTAGAAATGAACCAGCTATACATGGAAAACGACACAAGTTCAACCAGCTCGAACGCACTGGAACTGGTTTTGGACGTATACGATGATGGTACAATCCAGGTAGCTTCCTCCACCGACGATCGATTATCGATTGGAACCTTCAATTCCACTGCCAAAAGCATTTCGCACGTCCGTAGCGAGCCATCCGTCGAGCGGATTTTCGAATGCGAAGAAATAAAGAGCCAATCCCGACAACGAGAAGCGAACATCTTGGAGGTGGACTCCAGTGATGATGAATCGGTCGGGGAACCAGAATTGGTTGAACTGTGTCCCTGTCGGTATGAGGAGTGCCCCCGGGATTGTTACGGGAACCGATCGCGAGGGGAGGAGTTAGTGATGTTGGAAGCAAATGTGCTGGTCAAGATTCCGATGAAACGCAGAAATCTGGAGCGGCTTTTGCAAATTGCTACATGCTGTCAGGAGAAGATTCGATAAGGATCGTTTAAATACTTTCTGGTGAATTAATTGAATATTACACGGACATATACCGAAAACTTTAAACGCAGTTAAAGTTTCCTTCAACCAGAACCTTAATTTATCTGAAAGAAGAATCCACAATCCAAATTATAGAGGCATCAGAGGCCCGCATAGCACTGAGCCAACGAATGATCATGTTCATGCTGTGGCACTCTCATGGTGGTAAGCTCCAATTGGTATTATCCTCGGATTAAATCCCGATCAAGAATGTCCAGCTGATTTGATGTTGACACCAGAATTAATTCACACGACTCTAAGCGAACACTTTGCAGATCATCTAAACAGGGACGGAATGAAAAGTTAATCTGAGTTGGAGCTTACCACCATCACAGTTGATTCTCATCGAGTAGAGCTTTCTACTTATAGCGAAGCATAACCAGAGGCGTATGGTACTGTTGAAAGAAACTTTGAGGGACAGAGTACTGTTGAACTTGCTGCACATGACGGTAGCTACATGGACGACATGGATGGATTTGAGTTCACTCATTCGAGAAAACGTGACTCAAGCTGCGGGCAATGTTTACTATGCCTCTATGCCTCAGGTCGCTCTACTGCTCGTTTGTGCGATCCTTATTGGAGACAAGTTTAGTTGTTTGGTGCCCTTTCCATGCTAGCTGGATCACTAGAATTGTACCGTTCAACGCAAGTTTGTGAGATATGCTCAGAATAAGAGCCGTGATTACCGTACAGATCAAATGGGAATCACTTCACCGTGACGACAAGTGACAACTTTTCACCGTGAAGTGACATCCTTAATAAGCCCCTATTGGTCAGTTGAATTTTTCAATATACAAATAAACAAATAAGTGTGAGGTAACTCGCCATCAGTGTTGAGAAAATATCAAAAAATCAAATCTCATCAACGCCCATGATCACGCTTGATTTTCGTAGACAAAAATCAACAAGCAAACAACTGTGGTTGATTTTGCAATCTGTGACATCGCAGCTCGGAATATCAAGCTAACAAAAATCACCAACTGCAAATCTCACCAAACTGTGGTGAGATTGAGTTTAATGATTTTTGCTTTACACCCGAATGCAACCGAGTGCAACCGAAACTTCCATAACGGCTTGCAGCAGTCCCTTCGCGTCTGCCATCGGTGAAGATTAAAAAGAGATAGCAAACTATGCTTTCTTTTTCTAAGGAAACGATGTGCAATGGAATCATTTTTGTGTCGAGTCAGCTCTCAGCTTGATTTTTGCACGTTGTGAATAGTCTAGCAATATCAAATTAGCTTGTAAAATCAATATCAAGCATGATATTTTGTTCCAATGTCACGCGTGATATTGCGAGCGCACGAGAGCGGAAAAATATCAATTGATTTCTGATTTTGCCAAAACTGCTCGCCATCACTAGTGAAGTGACAATTTTCACCTCGGGTGAAGTGACTGATTTGCATGGAGGCTCACCTCATTTGTCAATTCTCGCGTCACTTTTCAAATAGACCAATGTAACATATCCACCATTTTGAGAAAATCGAGGTTGAAGTTCGACAGATTATTTTTTTAACTGTTTAAAAACAATACATTTTGCATTACTATTTTTAATGTAGTCAGCATATAATAACGTTGAAAATTCAGAAGAAACAGTAAAATCACAATTTTACTTTGAATTTCATGCTACAACATAGAAAAAATCACATAGGACGTTTTGACAAGTCGAGTTGTACATCAGACATGTTACATTGGACGATTTTTCTCAATGACATAATCAATGATTGTTACATTGGACGTTTTGTCTACATGATACTAGATTCCCTTTCACAGATTTCAGAGTATAGTACCTAACTTTAGATTGGCCCCGCCTTTGGAAAATGAGCACCAATCATGTTAGGCAGTCCGAATGACCGAAGTAACAATCATGTACCCATCATTTCAAACTGTACATTGGACAATTTTTGATCAATGATTATCTTAAATAAATGAAAGTAAATTTGGATGGATGTTTTTGTATCACATACAATGACAGAAGAGCAATAGTTTGTATCGCTTAACTCGATTTGTTTACATTTGTTACATTGGACTATTTGAAAAGTGACGCGAGAATTGTCACTTCACTGCAGAGATGCCAGATTTACAGACAGGTCTGTGAATTTACAGACTTTTATTTTTTTCACAGACATTTTTTTCGTTACAGACATTTACGGACTTTTGAGTTTTTTCACAGAAATTCGCGCGTTTTCAAATCCACCACACGAACGAGCTGTCACTGTTATAGACGGTCATAGTTAAAGACCTGTCTATGTGCTGCAATGTTGTATCCAAAACGAACATTTTTGATACGATTTGACGTTAACTCACGTTAGCTTGACTGTCTATAGCCACTTTCACTGAAAAAGCGAATGAAACTTACAGTGTGTTTCCATCCTATTCTTTCTTTTTATTAGAGAACACCCTCCCCCGGATGCAGTTTTAGCAACCGGTGGAAACTAACAATTTTAAATTGGTTCACTACTTTACTAGCCTAAAGGTCCCAAGCAAATCGATTAACGTATCCCATTCTAGTCGAAATTCTAGTACTACACTATGTTTGTTTTGATTCGCTATGAAAGTATGACAGATGAAATGAGGGGCTCGTGGATTTTTCTATGTTTCGAGGGGTGCATCGATTAGCTTGGGACCGAAGAGAGTACCAGAGCTGAGCCAAAAAGTTCAACACGTTTCTTCCGTACCTTCTATTCTTAGAGTTACCTCTATGGTTTTAGTGCTGAACGAAGCGGCCATTTTCGCCGTTTTGTACCTGAATAAGAGTCGTAAAACTGTGGAAAAAAAAGGGGGCAAATCAAAGGGAACCCGAGAGGAAACCCCATAACGAACTTTTTCAAAATCTATAAGTTAAGAAAAATCAATATAAATATGAATTTTTTGCGAATTCCCCAGTGAAATCTGGAATTCACATTTTTTGTTTGGAAGTCTTCGGAACCAAAATCCGATCGGGAAAGAAATCAATAGCGATCTATGAGGATCTGAAGCACATCTTCTGGAGCTTATTCCACTTAAATTGGTACAGCCAACGAAAAGGAGTGAGTTACACTCATACGAACTTACATACATACATACATACATACATATACACATACAGAAACGTTTCCCGATCCCGTTGAAATGAGTCTATATTGGTATATGCCATTCGTCTCTCCGGGTCTTGGAAATAAATTGTGTTTTTCAAGATGATATCATAGCCTTTCGGTTCACCTTGGTGTACGAGAAACTTAACTAAATCAGGTGTGTAATTATTTTGAAAAATGTTATAAATGTGTTGCTTGATATATCTTATTTATAAACTGTATTCGTAAAATCGTTACAACAGTGTTCGTTAGACTGATGCAAAATTTGAAATTTTCGCAACACAGTGCTCAAAAGTTTTCAAATTGGGCCCTGATTAGCCTCCCAAAATATGAACTCATTTCGTTAGAAGCTGACTTGGCACAAGCCATTTGAAATTTAAATGGGAATTACTATAGGAAAACAAAACTTTTTGTTCATTGCATTCTAGTGTTTTTACATGCTGTACTGTTAACAAATTCTATTGCTATTCTTATTGGAATTTTTATCAGCTACAACTTTGCAGGAAATTATTTTTCAGCCAAACGTCAAATTAAATAGTTATTAATTGTTTAAGAGATTGATAATCTTATGGCAAGATGAAGCAACTATAAGGGCAACACTGTATTCTGCAGTGTGACATAGTAGCCATGATTTTTGTTCTCTATTCTACGCGCCATAAACACCAATGTTGCCTGTTGAACAGTTGAATAAGCATAATTCAGTGCCAACATTTCAAAGGGGCGTAATTGCATTTGTAAACAATTGCTTTAGTCGTCGATTTCTCGCGAATGAAAGCTCACTTATGAACATAAATGACACCAGAACGCAGAGGAATGTTTACTGTATCAGCTAGCATTTGTAATTTAGAGGGGTGGGTTTTCGTTTGCGAGAAATCGACGTCTAAAGCCATTGTTTACAAAAGCAATTACGCCCCTTTGAAATGTTGGCACTGAATTAATCATAAGACATCAGTGACTTGAATCATTAATAATTTTTGTTCCTTACATTTGATCGAAAAGTAGTCTTCAACAAAGATGTAGCTGAGAAAAATTTTCAAGAAGCTCAGCTATCATTTTCTAAAGTAAAGGCAACTGGTGAATTTTGAGATCAATATGAACCGAATTTATGATTTCTCCATAGTAATTCCATAGAGGTAACTCTAAGACTAGAAGGTCCCGAAATAACGTGCTCAACTTTTTGGCTCAGCTCTGGTACTCTCTTCGGTCCCAAGCTAATCGATTCACCCCTCGAAACATAGGAAAAACCAATAACCCCTCATTTTATCTGTCAAACTTTCATAGCGAATCAAAACAAACATTGCGTAGTACTAGAATTTAGACTAGAATGGGATACGTTAATCATTTGCTTGGGACCAATAGGCTAGTCAAGTAGTGAGCCAATTTAAAATCGCTAGTTTCGTATTGATTGTTGGTAATTCCCATATAAACTTCAAACGGTTTGTGCCAAGTCAGTGTTCTATTCGGGGGCATTCGGAGGTTATGTAGTGAAACACACTCGTACGATCTAGCACTTTATTCTTACCTATATTTACAGTGGTGTTATCTGCTCGAGAGCGGTCAAGGAAAAGAGAGCCCGATACAATGGGTTGTTCTGCTTTTATATAATTTACATTAGTGTTGCCTGATAGGACCTCTATCAACCTAACCGGAAATACATGATTGTTTCGTTAACTTTCGTTAATGTTATCTAGATATACTACAACTTTCCCCTTTTTAACATGAAATTACTTTTTTCAGTAATCTTCAAATCTAAACCTGTCCGGAAATCTTTTTGGTCTTATTGATCTTCTGAGGAAAATTTCATCGTTCATGGATTCACTTCTTTCTCGTTTCATATCGATTTGAATTTTACTTGGTGGTGAATCTCCTAGTGATTCACTTCGCTTACGTTTAGAAGTTACATTTTCTGTCATTTTCTC